TTTTCGCACATGCTAAGCCCAAAGCTATAAATGAACTTCAAATAGTTCAAAATCTATTCTGTCGTAGGGCCACAAACTCGCCCTATTATGTTCTTAATGCCGACCTACACCGAGACTTAGAGCTCCCAACAATCCAGCAGTTTCTTAAATCACTCTCTGAGAGATTTTTCAAAGCCTCAGAGTCCCACCCAAATCATCTCATTCGTGAGACAGCTGCCTATGCAGCCCCTATCCACACTCACCATAGTGTGCGCAGACCGAAAAACTCTCTCTCGGACCTCCCCCCCCCCCAATAAGCTTTCGGCTGACCTGAACTGCCTCCTGGCGGCTCAGGCCGAGCCTACATAATACATCCCTTAATCTGCCTTAGTTAGGCACTCGTCTAAGCGGCTTTTCGCCGCTTGCGCCCTCCTTTCTGCCAAGGAGGGTCGCGTTCGTATACAGCTTAGAGATTTCTAGTTAGACCGTTAAGCCAGTCCCTAAACGGTGGGGTTTAGTGGGTAAAAGTCTCCACATAACCACGCAGCCGGCTGCGTGGTATGCTATGAGCATTCCCCACCTCCCTCCCCCCGTTTTCCGGAGAGTTGCCCATATTTGCTTCGGGCGCAAAAAAAATTGACACCGCGGCTGGAACTTTGAGTAACAAAATACTTGAGTATTTTAATACTCAAAGGGCTGGACAAGTCGCGTCGCAAGCAGCGCGGGGCTCGCTCAAAACGTTCGCGTAGGGGGCGCGCAGGTAGTGGGTTGTCGAGCCTAAGTATTTCCGACGAAGGCCGAATACTTGAACCGAAATCTGGGTAGGTACGTAATGCATATGCCATACGATCTGTTCGGGAACTTGTCAATCAAATAGGCTAACTTAAATGAAATAAATTAAGAAGCATAATTGTGTAAACATGGTATTCAGAAAATTTCTTTTGACTACACCATTCACCCTTATATCTATAGTAAAAAAAACATTATTATTTATATTTTACTCTTTTGTAAGTAATAACAGTTATGTTTATATTTGAGGAAGCAAAAGTTTTGTTTCGATTTTTATAAATTCAGTTGTTATTGTGAACTGATTACTTAACCAATGCACCGTAACGTAATTTTTAAAAAGTTATTTCGCGTGTTTTTTGAATTAAGAGACAATTTTTAAACTTTTATATTAATTAATGTTTAAGTAAGGAAATAAATAAAACTGAACATTATTGTGTTTATTAGTTAGAAATGACGATTAAACTGTAAATGATAGTGTGTACATTGTGTTTTTTTGTGAAAAGATCATAGGGAAATAGTAAATAGATCTACGTACATACCGATCGATAAGTATAGCTTATAAGAAAGTTTTCGTGGGATCATTTTGTGGACAAAAGAGATAATAAAGCCGAATGCAAAAAAGTAGGAAGGAAAGATTTCATTTCGTTAACAAAAAAATGCTCAATCAAAATTACGAAGTGATGAAGTGACCCGACTCGAATTAGTCGACTCGAATTAGTAACAAATACTTTCAAGAATTTTTAAACCCTGGGTTTTCAACCCCGGTGTTTTCCTATACTCACTCGCTCGTACTTTGCAGCCCTATGATATTAATTTTTGCACGTATCTCTCATCTCTATTGAAATTATATTAGGACTTAAAGATTTAAGATTCAAGTCCCACAAAAATTGCAACATCTATGCAAGAATAAATACTGTTAGAACTTATCAAATAGCCATTAGTTTATTACAGACTAGTTAAACCATATCGTGATGTCAAATACCACCAGCATTTCAAAATTATGAAAGTCTTATTCTTATTACTAATCCATAAATATACATTTTTTTCTTTTAGTGAATTATTTTCCTTTAACTTTGAATTAATACGAAAGTGTGCAAAAGTACTTTTCATACCTCAACATGGGACATCAGCATTTCGTGGTAGTTACAAATTTATGGCCACAAAATGTTGGAATAATCTTCCACCACCATTACGAGTCATAACAAATAAGAACAGTTTTAAGAGAAAATACAAAGAGTATTTATTAAATACGCAGAAAATGTCATAAATATAAAAAAAATTCGGCAAGGGCTGAATATCCCATATTTAGTTATATGCAATTATGTAACTTACATTTACTACCAATATTCTTTTTAATAACCATTACGTTGTTCTAGCATAAAACACTACTGTAGCTCTTACTTTTAATATTATTATTTTTTTTTCATGTTTTTGTTTATATTTCGTTTACATTTTGATTATCTCTTGTACATGTATATTAATTATCAATTTATAAATAGAAATATTATGATAACTTATACTGGTTAATTATATAGTTCTTGTACTGGCTGAATGAATAAATAAATAATTTAACACTAAAAGCTATTTGTAATATAATCAGTGATGTACGCGTACTGTTATACTCTAGCTTACTAAGTAGGTATATGGGTGCTGACAGAATAACAGCATTGTAGATTCTCTGCAACACATGCTGAGTCAGTACCCTTTAATAAATATCATTTTTGTATTAGTTTAACTTTTAAATATTTTATTATTTTTGGTCAATGAATAAATATTTTATTATTATTATTATTATTTTGGGGTATCTATATAATTTTCTCACCTGGTTGGGTTCTATAAATATATAATTGTAAATTAAAATGAAAAGATAAATGTTCATAAATATCAATAAAATAAAATAAATACAAAAAATACATAAATAAATAAGATCCAACCAGATGGGAGCCCTCGGCAGGGGAGACCAAACGGCCGAGGGTTAGGAGGAAAGGGAAAGAAACCGGCGGACGATGCGGGCGGTATCGAGGAGCACCGCCTTCTGCATTTGAGCCCGGAGCGGTCCGTCACGGAGTCCCAGTCGCCTCAGATGACCCGAGAGGCTGACTGGGATTGGCCCATTCGCAGAGACGACTACAGGAATAATTTCGGTCGGCATACCACCACACATGTCGGTCACCTCGTGAGCCAGGCCCAGATATTTTGTTCGTTTATCTGTTTCGGCTTTTACGAGGTTCTCTTCATACGGAATGGTAATGTCGATCAAAAATATCCTTGACTGTGCCCGGTCCATCAGCACAATATGAGGCTTATTCGCAAGAATAGTCCTGTCTGTGATGATGGCCCGGTCCCAGTAGAGCCTGGCGCGGTCATTTTCGAGCACGGCTTCCGGCAAGTACTTGTAATACGGCAATTTTCGGTCCACGAGACCGTATTTCAGAGCGAGCTCCTGATGTAGAATTCTGGCTACTAGGTTGTGCCTGTGCAAGTACTCAGAGTTAGAAAGCGCCGAACAACCGGAGATGACATGCCTAAGTGACTCCCCGGGATGGCGACAAGCTCGACAGACGTCGACAGTGCCATCCTTTAGGATGTATCTACGATAGTTGTTGGTCTTAATAACCTGATCCTGTATTGCACAGACAAAACCCTCGGTTTCGCCGAAAAGGTCACCGAAACGTAGCTAGTTGAGAGAGGCGGCTGTATTTACCTGAGGCTCATGTAGAGTCCTGTAGTACCTTCCATGGAGCTCCTTCTCCTTCCATACGGTCTCCCGGTCGGAAATGCTCTGTACTGCCGGGTCTTGCCATTGCTCGTTGGCTAAGGATAGAGGGGTAAGTCCTTTATCACTAGAAATAACGTCATTATAGAATGGATCATCCGATCTCGCCAGGAAGTAATGACGGAGGCTGCACACTTCGCGATTATGCATGGTGAGCGCGCTCAGGAAGCCACGTCCACCATGCTTTCGCAGCAAGTACAGCCTCATTACCGACGATCTCGGATGATGCATCCTATGGGACGTCATTATACTGCGGACTTTTCTATCCAGGGCGTTAAGTTCAGTCTGACTCCACCTGAGTACGCGAAAGGTATACATGAGGACAGGCATGACCCAACCGTTATATGCATGTGTCTTATTCACACCGGAAAAAAAGGCTGTTAAGCACTGGTCAAGCGTGCATAAAACACGTCGCAAACTGACTGTTTCATACCAGCCTCATCGATACCGATGTTCTGTGACATACCCAGGTATGTTTACAGTATGTTTCAGCCTCGGAAAGAGCCCTTAAGTTGACGGGCATAGATAAGTCTATGCCCTTAGAGTTAGCGACCTTTCCCCCAACATGGAGGACCGCACACTTATCCGTCCCCAGCTCCATTCTAATAGAATTGCTAAATTCACTAGTGATGTTTAGCAATTCCATAAGATGGGAGCGACTGGAGGCGTATAATTTGAGGTCATCTATATAGAAAAAGTGGGTCACTTTTGTACCTCCCTTCCGAAGCTGAAATACCCTCCCGGAGCCCTCCAGTAAAGTACTGAGAGGGTTCAAAGAGAGGCAGAACCAGATTGGACTCAGACAGTCGCCCTGGAATATACCCCTTCTTATCCTTATGCGGCTTTCCGCAGCCGTCATCCGCTCGCCCACATCGACAGAGGATTGTACTCCACTGCCCCATACACTGCTCGAAGAAGTCTTGAACTGTACAGTCAATCTTGTACAGCTCGAGGACCCTCTTTAGCCATGTATGGGGCACCGAGTGAAATGCCTTTCTGTAATCTATCCAAGCGGCGGAGAAGTTCCGACGGTTGCGTTTCACCACTTTGCCAATAACCGCGTCAATGAGGAGTGGTTCCTTGGTTCCACGACCGCCGCTCCGACATCCATTTTGAGCGCGCAACATCACCTAATTTGAGTCCAGGTGACGAGCGATTCTCGCGCTCAAAATGGATGTTAGTGTCTTATATATAGTCGGTAGACACGTGATGGGGCGGTATTTGCTCGGGTCTGTGGCACCCTGATCTTTAGGAACCAAATGAGTGATCCCAGTAGTGAAGAGGCTTGGGAGCGACTTCTGGTTGAGAGCCTCTTGAAACTGTCGTGCGAGCACAGCGTGACACACCATGAACCCCTTCAGCCAGTAGTGATGCAGCCCGTCAAGCCCCGGACTTTTCCAGTTCGGGGCCCTACGGATCGCCTCAGCTACGTCATCCAGCGTTATGGTGACGGGATCTATGGGCGTGACCACAGGCTGCGCCAGAATGCGACCGTGTCGGCCTGATTTGGTGCTGGGCCCGTTCCACTTACTATTGGTCGCTCCAATGATTTGTAGAGCCTCTTCTGATCACTCTGGAAGAGACGATTCTGGTTGAACCGTGTCGACCTCTCGGTATATCGCCGAATCCGCTTTCCCCAAGCAGCGATTCTTTGCTTCAGGTCGTCTATGCGCTCCGTCAGTTTTTGCGTTATATCCGGCTGGGACAAACTAACATTTGTCCCAGCAAACGCCATCCTGACGGTGCGCACAATCCTTGGCCTGGTATTGCCTGACCTGAAGCATATCAGTCTGCCGATGAGGGCCCTAGCCCTTGCGATACGTTCTTCAATTCTTATTCTCCAGGCTGGGATAGCACTCCTTTGTCCAGTAGCGCGTCCAGCCGTGGAAAGTTTGGCGCCTATAATACGGCAGACTGCCAGTGCGGCGCCAAAAAGAATTGAGTCCGTCTCGCAAAGGTCCCGGCTGGCTTCCAAATAGGTAACCAGCATTGGGTTCAGAGCCCTCACGACAGCCCGATTCCGCTTGCTTAGGGCTAAGCGGGGAAGTCGCGGTCGATTTTCGAGAGGCGTACTGCGCGTTTCCACAATCGCCTTCTTCAATGTACTCCTATTATTATTATTATTATTATATTAATTTCTTGGTGTAATAAATTTCCAAAATATTTAACCACAGCCTTAACTATATCATACTTAAACGGAATCTTAAATATTTTTTGAAAATAACTCATTTTACAAATTTCATTGCAACTCTTGGAATTATCATTCTTGTGTAACATACATCATTAAGAACTTTGTGTAACCAATGACTTGCCTGCAATTATTGTTATGTAATGGTCAATAAATATTTCTGATTTCTTATTAGGATTACTGCTTAGTTTAAACAAGATTAAGCCTTTTGAATATTACAAATAGCTCGGCTGTTTTATCTATTAGAGCGTGGTCCTACCATCACTGTGTCGGCCCATTAGTACTGCAACCTTAATAAAAGTCCAGTGTTGCTCTACCACGTAATGATCACGCAAATGATGTTTGATAGAATTATTAACAATTTTTTGTATATGTAGCTGCATATTGTTTCAGTGCAATCCAAATTCTTAAATTAATTTTGGATATGCTCGAAAACTTACGAGGTCAATTATCGCCGAGAAAATGGACTATATAAAGAATTATAGGCGTATCGCTAGATTCGCTTGCCATGTAATGGTTTATCGATCGGGTAAATACGACAAGCACAACAAACAGGATAACCTACTTATTTGCAACTTCGAGCTATTATGTCTTTATATACTTATGTCAAAACAGGATTTCAGATTACCCAATTTGTGTATTTTTATACAGGTAGTCAATTTATCTATTTTGATGATGAAAAGAAAATATATGAAAAAACTGTAATACTTCTTTCCTGCCCAGAAGTCCGTCTGGGTAAATACCACTCTTTAATCTACTTCTACCGTTAAATATCAGGACTCGCACTGTTGGGTTTCAGTTTGAAGAATATAGAGAGCCAGTGTTTTTACATACCGTGAGGCACTCCACCTTAGTACTCAGAGGTGACAATGCACCTTTAGCCTCCTTTGTTTCAATTTGGCAGCAGGTGTTCAAGGAGTCGAGTAGCCATCATATGGTTGACTGTAAGTTTGTTTGTCAATTATTTTATAAAACAAGAGAATGGTACTATATTACACACTCGTACATACAGTAATGAAATGAAAGAATTAACTTCCTTAATAGTTTTGATTGCGGGTTAACATGAAGATTTACATTCTTATAGCGGCCATTTTTTATTCGAAGCAAGATCATTTATCACTCTTTAATAATCAAAAGTGCCTACAGAGAAATTCCTTTGGTGCCTGGTTAGTATTACATACAATCTCTCATCTATGATCAGATAGATGTGCGATTTCATTTATGATACTATTGTTGCGCGCCTAAGTTGACGTCATGTACCCGGCACTAGCGCCATCTAATGTCGGGGACGAGAGCGAGGGGAGCTTTCCAGAAAATGACACCACTAACCTTTCAACCCACAGCGCCATCTAGTGTCGAAACGAAGAACTAAGCTTCTAGAAGCCCGACACTCGAACTTTCAGCGCCTGTCGATTGGCGCTCGTATTTACTTGAATATTCTGGATGTTTCGGTGATAATGAGTATTTAAAGGCGCTGCAGTATGCGATCGAGGAAGTATTGAATTCGGCAAGACAAGCGAAGCTTCGGAGCGAAATAAAGTGAATCAATGTGATTAATTATTAGTGTTTTAAGTTTTATTTGGTGTAAAGAAAATTAAAGTGTTAATTTTGGTAATTCTATCGGCAATTTTTATTGTCACGAACCTCAAGCTCGTAATAATTGGTGTCAGAAGTGGGATTAAATCATGCCGGTTTTACCTAAGTAGGAAACGGAGGGTGTCTGTACCCGAAGTCAACGCCAGCAGGAGACGATTTGGTGGTGCAACGCCGCAGACGTCAGAGGGCCAACTGCCAGCCACGGCGGCTGGCCCGTCAGCAGCTCCTACACCTGAGCACCTGACTTAGGTGCTCTGATGGTGATGCTGCATGCGATGGTGATGGAGCAGGATCGCTGACAGGAGGAACAGGTCAGTCGGTTGGAGCAGCAGCTGCGGGGCGGACAGGATGAACGGGCTCGCCGATAGGAGAAACAGGCCCACCGACAGGAGGAACAGGCCCGCCGACAGGAGGAACAGGCCCGCCGACAGGAGGAATAGGCCCGTTGGTTGGAAGATCAGCAGGCGGAATAGGCGTTTCAACAATTCAAGGTTCTTTATGTGGCAGGAATATATCTGAGTAGTTTTTTGCATTGGGCATAATAAAATGAATTAGTCATAAGAGCTAAAAGTTAAAGTTAAAATTACATCCTCTATATATCCCACTGCAGGGCACAGGGCTCCTCTCATTTCTGAGAATGTTTTAGGTTAAAGAAATATTCGCCGCGCAGCCCTAATACGTGATGGCGAACTTCAAATGTCTTCGAAATATTTTTTTTCTTATTTCTCAGATACGCACGTTTCCGCAAGATCTTTTTCTTTACCGCCAAGCACGTGGTAAATTAGCACTTAAAATTTTAATTAACAATTTCATTGGTGCCGGCGGGGATCGAACCCGGGTTGCTCGCGTATTGTGAAATTTACAGCGGACACTAACCATCTGAGCTACCACGGCTCATAAATCATAAATAAATTATTTATTAAATATTATTTATATATTTTTTTTAATTTATTGTATCTGAATGCTGTGAGTCAGCCGATATAGCCATAATGACGATAATAACGAAAAGAATGGGTTCTGATTGGACAGGTTGGACTGATTGGAACGTGTGAAGAACGTCAACTCGCATTAACGTAGCGCGGAAAACTCTTCTCGGTTCAAAGAATGTTATTAATTTAGGAAAGTCTGCCAAGCTGTACAACGTATGTAGATCAGGCTATACGTAGTAATCCAAAACATATGTGGAGAAGTTACTTATTTTTATAAATGTTGTAGCCAGACGGAGATTTTCTATTATATAATGGAGTTTGTTTACATATATACAAAGTGCACAAGAATAATTATCCGGACCCGGACAATTATTTGTAGAACATACTATTTGTACTAAATTTTCTACCAACATATATATAATGCCTGTTCCATGGGTGATTCCAACCCGTGGCCATCAGCGCCGCAAATTAATGCTAGACACGGTAATGCGACACGGTGTCTTCATAAATTTACTTAACCTCTTAAAATATTGGTAAATTGTATAAAATCAAAATTCATTTTAAATAATAAAAACATATTTGAGATGTAGCAGTGATACGCATCGTCGCAATTATTTTTCATTGACTGTCGAACCCTAAGATATGCGTTTAAATCTTTTATTCAAGGTGTGGGTGACAATGACAACTTTAATGCGTTTTCTAGAATTATATTATTGATTTACTACATAAGTACATTATGGAAAATTGTTAAATATGATCCTGATAAATATAGTTCTTTAATCTTTACGATTTTAACTTTTACATATTTTTATTTGATTTTATTATTGTAAAAAATTGGAGCTAAAGACATCAAAGTGTACATAAATAACCGAGAAGGAAGCAGGCCACTTACAAGTTTTAACTCAGAGAGTCTAAACGGTTAAACATTCCTCAAACGGTTGATATAAGATAACAATAATAAAAATTATATGTATTTTGTAGATATTTACTAATAGTAATAATTAAAATGCAAACTATTTGGTTTAACAACTGTTAATAGTGTTTATGTCTAATTGTTGTGCCCATAGTATTAAACATTTTACATGCCCTTATTAAATATTAATTTTGTCGATGAATGTTTTTCGTGTCGACGATTATACTTTCTTAGTAGAACTGACGATGTACGCATTCCTGTAGCGACTCTTGATAGTTAATAGTATGGTTACCAATAACTGAAAGATAACACAGTTCTGCTATTTTTGTTCGTTCGTATAAAGAAAGTGATTGAACTTTTTCGCATTCACAGTTACAGTTCTGCTGGTGGAAATCAAACTCGGTTTGCTGACATACTATGAAATTTACGATGAAGCTCTTCTGAGCTTCATACCCATAATATTATGGAGATCTTTTACTTGCTATATCTCATAGGTGAAATCAGATTTATTCTTGGCGTGACACTTTTACAACAAAATAAATAATGTATGTTAAAATGTTTAGTATAATACTCATAAATTCATCGACATATCAGTTTTAAGAATATTCTTTAATGACGGCATAAGCCTAGATAGTCTAAATATTTTATTCCATGAGTATAGTAAGTCTAGAAATCGATTTCATTTCGTTTGTTTTGTAAGACGATACTATGGAAAATGCCAAAAAGTTCTCATATCTTCCGGCAATGATAACAATTTAATTTTTACACCAGACTCTTTTACCCAAGCTGGCGAGAGGAAGCTGCTTTTGGCAATTGTAGCAAATTCTAAGAGAATGAAATCACATGTCCAGTGGTGGACATTTGCGGGCTAATAAAGAAAAAGTTGTGTACTAGGGTTTTATATATTCCAGATCCGCGTATAATAGCTGTTCTCCCTGATTTCATCCGCGTGGAATTTATATCGATTGGATTTCATGAGGATTTTTTTTGCGCGGAACCTTAATTTATTTTTCTATAATAAATCTTTTTCTTTAAAAAAAGTAGCTTAAGTTTCTTCCTATAGTATCAGCTATCTACTGGTAAAAATCCCGTAAAAATAGGTCCAACCATTTCGGAGATAAGCTGGAACAAACAGACAGATAGAATTAAAAAATGTGTTTTGTTATAAGTACCGTATTTACGTCCATATATAGTTCAATTTTATTTATTTATATAGATTACGTACGAAATGTGAGGATTTAGTCTGATTGAGTCTTTCTATATGCAAAGAATAATTTTATTGGGCTATATATTTTATGAGCCTGTTAAGAGATTAACATACATAACATTCAACTTTAAAATACGCTGCCAATGTGAGGTCTGGA